CTATGGTTCCCATCATGGCCTTGCTGTTGCAGTCAGTGTGGTGTCAAGTTGCCTCAAGCTGGAACCTAAAGAGGCCTTCCACTTTAGTGTCTATAAGGTGGACTGTGTCCCAGAGGTAGTCTGGAAGCTGGTCCACCATGGGACCCATTTTCTACCACAGGAAGAGCTGGTACCTGGCCATGGTAGCCTCATAGTTAGAGACCCTAAACCCCAGCGCAGTGGCCACATAGACCTTTTTGGACATGATACCTAGGTGGCGCCCTTCTTTGTCCACCGCGGTGGACTGGTCCCTCTGCAGCGTACCCAGCATAGACTCCACTATGACGGAGTTGGGCTTGGGGTGCTGGAGAAGTAGAGGGAATGACTTTATGGTCACCTTGTAGCTAGAGTCGATCCTGCATGAGGTGGCCAAGGGCCCCACAGGGGCCTTCCAGGACTGCTGTGCGGAGAAGTGAGGGCAGGGTGGGGATGGACACTGAGGTGGCATCCCGAGGCCAGGGTGTTGTAGCATGGGTCAGCCTTGGGTTCAGGAGGGTGGGGCATTTGAAAGCTGAGGTCCTTGGCCATGCAAAGGACAAGGTCAGAGAAACCACCTCCCTTAGCAGGAGAAAAGGAGAGGTCTTGGTCTAGGGCCTGTCCATCTGGAGAGTGGACGGAGGCCAAGGGGGAGAAGGAGCGTGCCAAATCCGGTGATCAGCTCTGACCTGAGTCCCTTGAAGGCGAATGCTGGTAGTGGTGGCTCCTGCTTTGATGATCCCAACATGCAGCAGGTGAGCGTTTGTGGTGAGTTGTAGCAGGGCTATGGGAGTGGCAGTGCTAGTGAGCAGGCCTGGTGTAGGCCGCATCAGTGGATGTGGAGTCCTCACTGGGCCAACGATGCTGATGGACGAGGGGCCGGTCCCTGGGACTGGCAGTGCGGCTCAGTTTCTTGCAGGGGAAGCGGAGGCAGTGGGGAGTTGTGGCTGGAATGGCACTGTGATCTCGGTTGAGGGCTCCCTGCTTCTGGCCTGGTTCCTCAGCACGCCATGTAGTCCTGGTCCATTCTCACAGGTTCTTGAGGTCTCATGCATGTGCTCTGGGCTCAGGCGGGGAGGCTGGAGAGCAGTGGCAGTGCTGGCAATGCCCATAGAGGAGGTAGGGCATCCAGGCACAGTGTTCGCAGCGAGGCCTGCGTCGTGAGGCTGGGAGTTGCAGGAGGCATGGGTCTCCAAGAAGCCGGAGTTGAAGTCAGGTGGGCAGGGCCTTCTCACGCATGGGATCATTGCAGGAGACGAGCTGGAGTGCAAGGAGACTGGGGAGCATAACGATGATCTCCCCGACTCCACGGGGGGGGGTGCACCACGTGAAGCAGTGTTGCCCATGGGCAACGGCAGTGGCAGGTGGTCCCTCATAGGAGTAGAGGCACAGAGAGCAGCCTCCACAGCCAGCATGGTGGCAGGGCCACGTGACAGTAGCATCTCAGGCATGGGCATTGGGTTCCTGGATGCAGAGGTGGTATGCACGTCCGGAGAGTCTAGGACTGGGACTGCAGAGGACGCTTTCAACAAGGCCCTGGAGTCCATTTTTCATGGGCGGTCTTGGATGGCCTCCGGTGCTGGGAGGGGAGTGCAGGATCCTTCGTGGCGTGGCACTTTTTCTTTCTAGTGTTGACCATGGTGCTGGAGGGGGCCTCACCCAGGGAAGCAAGTCTTTACCTTGCCTCGCAAAGCTTGGATGTGCTGTTTGGGGGGGGGGTTGTTGGCCTCAGAGGGGTCGACCATAGTAAGGGCCCTCTGCCATAGGGCCTGCCAGAGGCAGGTAGTCCTCTGTATGTGAGTTTGCTTTTTAAAAGCCTGGCAGTGGGAGCACATCTTGATGACATGCCCCTCATCAAAGCAAAGAAGGCACTTGGAGTGCCCATTGGTGGTGGGCATATGGGCCACACAGGTGGAGCAGTGGCGGGAGTGCATGTTGCAGAGAAAGTGGGAAAAAAGTGAGATTTTCCATGGGGAGAGTAAGGGAGAGAGAGGTAGTGAGCTTCTCTCTGAGCAGCAGATGAGAGAGGGAGGGGGACAGATAGATATAAAATAGAGTGAATAAGGAGAGAAAGAGAAAAAAGAAGATGGCAAACCAGGGAAGTGGCGAATGGAATGTCCGATCTGAAGCAACTCGAAGTGCAGTCAAAAAGGATCTGAGGGACTGGGTGGGAGCCCCTCCCCCCCGCATGCTATCTGCACAGGGGGTGGGCTGGACTCCCATCCACTCCATGGCGCCAAGCTTTGGAAGTTTCCTCCGATCGAGGCCTTGCACTCCGCGGCAAAACTCCTTATGTATGATTGCACAGAGACCATGCAGAAGAATTCTCCATTCCTTCTGTGCAAATTATAAGCAGATAGCCAACCACAATGCCTTTTTTATGTTCTCATATATTTAGCCGAGGCTATAAACTCTCGCCTTATGAGTCCCTAGGTACTCATTTCTGCATAGAACTATGTACTTCTACATGTCTTCCCATAGAATGGAAGTTCCTCATCTTCCAATATACTGTCAACTCTTGCTAGGTGGAACAGTCACCTTCTGTTAAGAGCTCTGTGGGAAGGAGCATTTCTGAAACAAGTATGGTTCTTTAGGTCTTTGCCTGCCCATTATACTTCAGTGACTGTTGAAGTACATTAACTACGCTTGTCTGAATAGGACAGAGAAGCCAACGTGCTGTAATTTGGAAAGGAAAAGCTAAATTTCCTGTCAAGAGCCATGAAAGAATAGGAGTTTCCTCCAGGTTGGGTACTGGCAATTCTATCAGTAGATCCTGTAATGCTGATGTAAGCCATGAACTGTATGCTGGTGAGGAATGGAAATCATCATATTCTGAGGCAATAGAGCCCACTTGGCCTATAGCCCAACTTTTCTGAAATGTAGGACGAGATGTAGGACTCTGGATTGGCAAGAAGGAATGAATCTTTCCTCACGGTTTTACTTTCATTTCTGCATAGGCATATACCCTTATTATTATAATTCTTAATTACATTTTAATCCCATCTTTCTTCTTTTTGCAGGTAGCCTGAGGAGGCTTACAAGGTTCTCATCTCCAACAAGTACCCTGTGAGGTCAGTTATGCTGAGAGTCTGTGACTGGCCCAAAGTTTCCCAGTGGGCTTCATGGCCAAGTAGGAACTAGAACTGAGACCTCCTGAGTTCTGGCTGAGCACTTTTAACCACTATACCACACTGATTCTTTATAACACACACAGTGTGTATCATCCCATTTGAAGTGGACAACCTTCTGTATTTTACTACAAATGTGTGTTTTATGCACCTAAGGTGCTCTGGCCAATTTGTTTCCTATAATATGCACACATGGGAGGAACAATGGAGGCAAGCAAGAGAGATCTGTGTGGAAGCAGCACCCTCACTGTTGGCACCTTGTGGCCCTCTAGCTGTTTTGGCCAACAAATCTCATCGCAATTGGCTGTGCTGGAAGTTGTAGCTCAAATGGATGGGCACAAGTTGCCCAACCCTGCATTTCCCATTGATCAAGAAGTAGCACCCTCTGTCGTAGAAGTTCTCCCTCTAATTGCTGAGGCCTCTGAATCCTCTGTGGTTGTTCAATGTTGAAGGAACTTTTCACCATGGTCAGGGCACTTTCACCATAAACAGTGGACTGAGCCATGGCAGTAATTAGGCCCTGCTTGTGGCTCTGGGTATAGCAGTCAGGATGCTCAGCAGAGGACTCCTGATACAATCAGGTTCAGGCCAAAGAGAGTCTGGCATGCACAATATAATGCTTGAATAGTATGGAATGATAATTTCCACACTGTATGAAGAAATTGGAAGCAAGCAAATTCACAAGAAGCTGAATTGCATTCTTGTGGCCAAACAGGTATTCTTGTCCTCTTTTAATTAAAAAAAATGCAATGAACAGACATCTGTAGCTATGCCTAAATTCCTTCAATTTTGTTCATGCAATAGATCTCTTTATTAGTCAAATTTACCACTCCAAACTGTTGTAGTTTGAGACTTACAATGACAATTTTTGTAAACCATCCAGAATGCCTCAGTTATTGAGCAGTATAGAAATAAAATTAATAATAATATGCATCAGCTGAAGTTTGGAATACCACAAGCAGTACAACATAGATTTGAAAATGTAGGGAACCTTTTCAAGGTATCACAGTTACTCCTACTGTTTGATTGTAATTATACATATGTTTGTGTGTGTGTGTACTTATGCACGAGAAAACTATATTCTACTACACCAAATTTAATGAAAAATGCTACTTTATTTGGATAATTTAGCAAGCTAAAAGATGTCTTTGGTTGGAAGCCAAAATACTGGCATTAATTCTAGTAAAAATTATGTTACATCCAATCTTTCACCCACTCAGACTTTTACTTTCCAACAGCTGTTTCTATAAGTTTGTTCAACAAATAGCCACACACACATAATGTTACCTTTAATATAGATTCAGCTGAGGGCTGAACTGTCAAAGCATGTTTAAGTCCAACTAATTTTAGGAGGATATGAGGCTTAGCTAATGATGGATACAATGCAGCTAAAACTGCAATGTTATGTTGACTTACACAGGTGAAAGACCAACTGAATATTCCTACAAATGTCTACTCAAAAGTAAGCTTAAAAATTCAGTTCAACTGGATGTACTCCAAGCTATAAAGAATTGCTGCCTCAGAACAATACATTTAAGTTCCACTGATTTCAGTGGAAGAAAGTTGAGAGAGGTAAACTCTACTCCCTTATGAAAATCAAGGAGACTTTAAAATGACCTGGTTGGAAGAGGTGGCCTGTTCAAGCAAAATTACACCTCACTCATGTGGGATACATTGTGCTCACCCTGTCTGAGTGAAGCCGCCCATAGTCCCTGGCTTTCTTAGGCATGGTTATACTATGGTGTGCTCCTACAGTGGCACAGAGGGAGAGGACATTCTCAGTAGGATTTTGTAGCCACGTATCTTGGAGCAGAGTGTCACTGACTATAAGATATAATTTTATAGCAAAAAACTCACCGCAGTGCCATTGTTATCTCGAAAAACATCTTGATTAAAATAGTCAAAAAGTTTCTTTTCTAATTGTAGCATAACCTGAGGAAAAAAAGAAAAGCAAAGCTTGAAAAATATTTTGACATTTATTCTGAGTGGAGTTCTTCCATATTATATTTTTCTTTTTCTTTTGCTATTTAATCAGCGTGCCTTCTGACTTTAAAAAAAGTATGCAGCCTTAAGAAGACCGTTGTCTCAAGTGTCTGAGAAGACCTGCTTAGAAGATCCTGAGCCCACTGGGAAGAAATCTAATGCTCATAACTGACTGCATACACTACAGGTTCCTTTTCACATGTGGTATGAGCCTTGTCAACAACTCTTTGGCTCATTCAATTCATCTCCACACTCACTTAAGTTTCATGCAGCAAGTCTAAAATGAACTTATTGAAGTAGCAGGTCAACTCCTTTCCATAGTCTTCCTTTCTCACTTTTACCGTGGTATCATCTTCATGGAGAGGAGAGAGAAAAGACACTGAACCCCACTGACAGCTTGCTCTTTGACTTTTCTGTGGTTAAGGATTAGTAGCATCAGAAACAATGCTTAGAAATGGCTACTTACCAATAAGCATGGCTATTAATTAAATCTGACTATGGCTATATAATGTCTTGAAGTTATATAGCCCTCATTCTAGCCCAGCTAAAAAAGTACCTATTAGAAAATAATCCCATTGTTACAGTTATACCTTATAATATGGTCTTGTTCTTCAGAAAAACTAAAATCCTGATTTGTCAGTCCAAGCCAAAGGCCAGCCCCACTTCCACATTCCAAAGAACAGGCAAGGTGGGAATGGCCCCCCTCAGAACCTGAAATCACTCGGAAATATATAGCCCTGTTTAGTTTTTCTCAATCTGTGTAGAGCCAATGTTTTCATTGCCTCATACATGTGGAGGGTAATGGTTTGAAAAAATAAACCTCCTATACCTGTTGATGTGACTAAGAACACTGGAAAATCAATGTTCAGACACAGAGAGCCTCCACAAATATAGGATGTTCTTCTATTCAGTATTTTACTCGAAAAGATTTGTCCAATTCTGTGGAGAAGGCAGAGGGGCAAAGTTGGACAGCTGACTTTGCAGTTTCAAGGTAACCCTAATAAAGATTCTGAGACAAAGCATGAGAACCAGCCAGCCTCGGAAAAGGCAGGTTGCTTACCTGTAACTGATGTTCTTTGAGTGGCCATCTGTGCAGTCACACATGTGGGTGCTGTGCCTGCGCAGTGCCTTTGGCTGGAAGATTGAAAGCTAACGGTTTTCAGTGGGAAGCTCCGCTCCCCCCCTCACAATAGCCTATAAAGAGCGGAGCGTCCGCCATTTTGTTCAGTCTTTGAAGACCGAACGTTCGCTCCCATGTAGAAAAAGAATCCCCACTATAAATGATGTCGGTACCATGAAAAAGGAAAAACGTTCGGTACCAACGAAATATGTCCACTCACCGACACCGAGCGGGGCTGGTGGGTGGGTTGCGTGACTGCACAGATGGCCACTCAAAGAACATCAGTTACAGGTAAGCAACCTGCCTTTCTTCGTCGTGGCCACTGTGCATCACACATATGGGTAGAGTAGCAAGCTTACCATTATTGGAGGAGGGGAGGTGTCCTCAATGAAGAACAGATGAGAGAACAGCCCTGCCAAAGGAGCAGTCTTGCCTAGCACGGACATCTAGGTGAGGAGCGAACCAGCGTGCCGGACGGCCCCACCTCAATCTGCGCCGCTTGGAGTCCGCCGCTGCTGCCTGCTGCTGCCGCACCGAGGCCAGGACCACCGGCCCAGGCCCCTGCTCCGGCCCGCTTCCCCGGGCGTGTGTGAGAGACGCGCCAGGGCGGGGTGGGGCACAGGGAGGGGTCCTGCGGTCTACAAAGCGCCGGCGGCGTGCGGGGGCTGGCGGCCAAAGGGCGACGGCCAAAGGGTGGTGATGCCGTTGTTTGGGGGCCGGGTGGGGGGCTGGGCTGGCTGGGGGCTTTGGTGGTTGGCCTTGGGTTTGTTTGTCTGTGGGCTAACGGTGGTTTTAAGTAGGATGTTTTTAGTAATTTTAACTGTCGGTTTTAGGTTGCTTTTAATTGGTGCATCTTGTGCTTTACTATGATGTTGCCTGGGGAGCATGTGGGCGCCACCATTGGGGTGGTGATGGGCAATGGACGTTATGGCGTTGGGGGTCTAATGGGTCTGCATAGAAGAAGGAGAGACAGATGGTTAACACCTGTCCCTCTTTCTGGTTATTCCCCCAACCGGCGGGTTCCAGGTAGACTTGTCAGCTGCCTCCCGGGCCTGTCGGTGCTGTTGCTTAATGCCAGGTTGGTCCAAAATAAGGCAACACTCATCCATGATTTGATCATGGATGAGAGGGCCGACCTGGCTTGTATCACAGAGACCTGGGCAGGTGAGGGGGGGATGTCACCCTCTCACAACTGTGCCCACCTGGGTACCTGGTCCAGCACTGACCACGCCCGGAGGGGAGGGGAGGGGGGGTCACTCTGCTTTATCGAGCTTCTATCTCCCTTGTGGGGCTTCCTGTCCTCTTGAGGCCGGGGCTGGAGTGCCTCCACTTGGTGTTGGGTGACCGAGACAGAGTGGGGATTCTGTTGGTGTACTGTGCACCCTTCTGCCCAACAGAATCCCTGCCTGAGCTGACGGAGATCGTCTCGGACCTGGTGTTGAGGACTCCCAGGATGCTGGTCCTGGGGGACTTCAATCTCCATGCAGAGACAGTTCTAACTGGGGCGGCTCAGGACTTCATGGCCTTCATGGGGCTGTCTCAACACATCAGTGGCCCGACCCATGAATGTGGACACACTCTGGACCTGGTTTTCTCGATGGGGCAGGAAGAGGGTGATCTGAGGGTGAGGAATTTAAGTTTGATGCCCTTGTCATGGTCAGATCACTTCCTCATAAGGCTTGAGCTCGAGAGTGGCCTTTCCCTCTGTAAGGGTGCGGACAAGATTGTATTGGTCCGCCCCCAGAGCTGGATGGATCCTGATGGATTCCTGAGAGCTCTGGGGGATTTTCCGGTTGACAAGACTGGTGATCCTTTCGATGCCCTGGTTGAACTGTGGAATGGGGAGATGACCAGGGCTATTGACACGATCGCTCCCAAGCATCCTCTCCCACCTGACAGAGCCCGTTCATCACCCTGGTATACACCTTGATTACGGGCGATGAAGCAGGTTGGGAGACGTCTAGAGCATAGGTGGAGGAGATCACGGGGTGAATCCGACCGAACACACTTAAGAGCCCATTATCGGGCCTGTGCTGTGGTGGTGAGGACGGCGAAGAAGAAATTCTTCTCCGCTTCCATTGCCTCCTCACAATACTGTCTGGCGGAGCTCTTTCGGGTGGTGCAAGGGCTGATACATCCAAGCCCAAAGAAAGATCTCATACGACCCTCAAAGGCCCGCTGTGACGACTTTGCCAGGCATTTCAGGGAGAAAATCGCTCAGATTCGTCACGAGCTTGACTCTACTATTGAACCAGATTCTACTGAGGAGATGCCAACGATGCTGTCGAGTCCACAATTAATGGATGAATTTCAGTTGTTGCGGCCTGATGATGTGGACAAGGTGCTTGGACAAGTACGCCCTACCACCTGCTTACTAGACCCATGCCCATCCTGGCTACTTAAGAAAGCCAAGGACAGGATTGGCACCTGGATCGTGGAGGTGGTCAACGCCTCTTTAAGAGACGGTCGGGTACCATCCTCTTTAAAAGAGGCAGTAGTCCAACCAGTCCTAAAGAAGGCAGACCTGGATCCAGAGGTGGCTGCCAATTATAGACTGGTGGCCAACATCCCGTTCCTGGGCATGGTACTACAGCGGGTGGTGGCGGGACAACTCCAAGCATTCTTGGATAAAACTGATTATCTGGACCCATTTCAGTCCGGCTTCAGACCCGGGTATGGTACTGAATCTGCCTTGGTCGCCCTGTACGATGACCTGTGCAGGGAGAGAGACAGGGGGAGTGCGTTCCTGTTAGTTCTCCTGGACCTCTCAGCAGCTTTCGATAGCATCGACCATGGTATCCTTCTGAATAGGCTGGCGGGATTGGGAGTTGGAAGCACGATTTCAATGGCCGATTTCAGAAGGTGGTGCTGGGGGACTATGGCTCTGTGCCATAGCAGTTATGCCATGGAGTTCTGCAGGGGTCCATTTTGTCCCCCTTGCTATTCAACATCTACATGAAACCGCTGGGGGAGGTCATCAGGAGGTGTGGGCTGCGGAATCATCAGTACGCTGATGATACCCAGCTCTACCTCTCATTTTCCACCAATCTAGGTGAGGCAGTGGCTGTGCTGAACCGGTGCCTGGCCGAGGTAATGGGCTGGATGAGGGCCAATAAACTGAAGCTCAATCCAGACAAGACGGAGGTCCTGTTGGTGGGTGGTTCGGGCCTGGGGACGGGGGACTTGGGCCTTGTCCTAAATGGGGTTGCACTCCCTCTGAGGGACAGGGTTCGCAGTTTAGGAGTGCTCCTCGACCCTGAGCTGTCTTTAGAAGCCCAGGTGATGGCAGTGGCGAGGAGCGCTTTCCTTCAGCTTTGGCTGATCCATCAGCTGCGTCCCTTCCTGGAGAACAATTGCCTGGCAACAGTGACACACGTGTTGGTAACTTCCCGATTAGATTTCTTCAACGCACTCTATGTGGGGCTACCCTTGAAGACAGTCCGGATACTTCAATTGGTGCAGAATAGAGCTGCCAGGCTGCTGATGGGGACTGGGCGTTGTTCTCATATAACCCCAGTTCTCCGTCAGCTCCACTGGCTCCCAATTGAAGTCTGGGCCCAATTCAAGGTGTTGGTTATGACCTATAAAGCCCTCAACAGCTTGGGCCCTAGGTATCTAAAGGAACGCTTGAGTCCATATATGCCCTCCCGCTCCTTGAGATCAACAACAGATGCCCTTCTCCGGGAACCCTCTGTGAATATTAGGAGGGTGAGTACCCGGAGGAGGGCTTTCTCTGCGGTGGCGCCCCACCTATGGAATGCGCTCCCCAGAGAGGTCCGCCTGGCACCATCATTCTTTGTATTTCGGTGCCTGGCTAAGACCTTTTTAT